GGGTGTCCCGAGGGGATTTGGGGGTGTTCCGAGGGGTTTGGGGGCATCCTGAGGAGATTGGGGGCTCCCCTGAGGGGTTTGGGGGCATCCCAAGGGATTTGGGGGCATCCCGAGGGGATTTGGAACCCCACCGAGGAGATCTGGGGGCATCTCAAGGGGTTTGGGGACATTCCTGAGGGGTTTGGGGGTGTCCTGAGGGGTTTGGGGGTGTCCCAAGGGATTTGGGGCTCCCCTGAGGGATCTGGGGGTGTCCCGAGGTGTTTGGGGGTGTCCCGAGGGGTTTGGGGGTGTCCCGAGGGGATTGGGTCATCCTGAGGAGATAACCCTCAGGATTTACCCCAAAACCCTCTCAGAGCAGGAAAACACCTGCAGGACCCCCAGAAGACCCCAAAGTGGGGGATTTCAGCCCAAACTCACGGCGGGCAGGGACTCATTGACGGGGTCGAGGCAACCCACAACACCCAAACCCCCAGGATTTACCCCCAAACCCTCTGAGAGCAGGGAAACGCCTGCAGGACCCCCCAGAAGACCCCAAAGGGAAACACCTGCAGGACCCCCAAAACGCCCCGAACCCACAACACCCAAACCCCACAACACCCAAACCCTCAGGATTTACCCCCAAACCCTCTCAGAGCAGGGAAACGCCTGCAGGACCCCCGGAAGACCCCAAACCAGGGGGTTTCACCCCGAACTCACGGCGGGCAGGGACTCATAGACATTGACGGGGTCGAGGCAACCCAAAACACCCAAACCCCCAGGATTTACCCCCAAACCCTCTCAGAGCAGGGAAACGCCTGCAGGACCCCCAAAAGCCCCAAACCAGGGGGTTTCACCCCAAACTCACGGCGGGCAGGGACTCGTAGACATTGACGGGGTCGAGGCAACCCAAAACACCCAAACCCCCAGGATTTACCCCCAAACCCTCTCAGAGCAGGCAAACACCTGCAGGACCCCCCAAAAGCCCCCAAACCGGGGGGTTTCACCCCAAACTCACGGCGGGCAGGGACTCGTAGACGTCGACGGGGTCGAGCCCGCCGGGCCCCAGGCGCTTCTGGCGCTCCTCCTCCTCGTACTCGCGCAGCGCCTTCTCCAGCCGCGCCCGCGCCCGGCCCCGCACGCGCTCCTTGAACGCCTCCAGCTCCTCCGTGAAGCCCTCCAGGTACTGCTGGTCTGCGGTCTGGGGGGAAACGGGGTGCACCCCCAAATTCGGGCCAAAGCGACCCAAAATCCAGCCCGAATCCACCCTGAATTCACCTCGAATACACCCAAATTCATGCCAAATCCAACACAAATTCACCCCGAATCCAGACTGAATCCACCCTGAATTCACCCCGAATCCACCCAAATTCATGCCAAATCCAACCCAAATACATCCTAAATTCACCCCGAATCCAACCCAAATCGACTTCAAATTCATGCCAAATTCATCCCAATCCACCCTAAATTCACCCCAACTCTAGCCCAAATTCATCCCTAATCCACCCCAAATCTACCTTAAACCCCCAATTCCACCCCTAAATCCCCAATTCCACCCCAAACCCCCAATTCCACCCCGAGCCCCCCTTTTCCCACCCCCTCCCCTGCTCAAACCTCACGAAAGGGAAAATATTTTGAGGCTGAACCCGTGGAAATTGGGGAACACTTGGCCCCAGGGAGGGATTTGGGGGCCCAGAGGGGATTTTTACCTTAATTTTGGTGAAAAACTGCCGGAAGCAAGCCCGGGGATCCACCTTGAGGCTCTTGGCCAGCTCCAGGATGAACTGCATGACGATGGTCTGGTGGGCCACCTGCTCCATCAGCGCGTGTTTCTGGGGGAAAATGGGGTCAAAATCCCAAAATTGCCCAAAATCCCCACGCCATCCAACCCCTTCTGGGCGGGGAAAGAGGTGACTGGGGTCAGGGAATCCCTGCAGGGGCTAAGGGCTTTAGGGTGAGACTGGCTTGGGTTTTGTGGTCTTCAGAAGCTTTTTGATCCCAAATTAATCCCAAATTCCCTGATTTTGGGGGTTCCTCGTCCCAGGAAAGCCCTGGAGCTGCAGGAGAGGAGCCTGGGGGCGAACCCCTGTTCCAAAAAAAGGGGTGGGTGCCTTCAAAGGAAGACTTTAAGGATCTGTTCCCACCTCTCCTGCTTTATAATTCCCAAAATCTCTCATTTTTTTGGCAGGAAAAACAGGATAAAATCCAGAGAGCTGAGAAGCAGGCAGCTCCAGCCTGGGAAGGGGGGGTTTATCCCAATTTCAGCCCCCTCCTCACCTCCTCCACCTCCAGGTCGATGCACCAGATGACCAGGTAGTTGGCTGTCTCCTCGCACACCAGGTGAGGGTTGTCTGACAGGTACTTCTGGCTGTCATCCCAGCGCCTCAGCATCCCTGCCGGCAGGGATCGGGGGTTCCCTGTGCTCAGGGGGGGACCCTGAACCCCCAGGGACAAACCCTGAACCCCCTCAGGAACCCTGAACCCCCAAGGAACAAACCCTGAACCCCCCAGGGACAGAGCCTGAACCCCCAGCAACCCTGAACACCCCAGGAACAAACCCTGAACCCCCAAGAACAGACCCTGAACCCCAGGGACAGACCCTGAACCCCCTCAGGAACCCTGAACCCCCTCAGAACAAACCCTGAACCCCCAGCAACCCTGAACACCCCAGGGACAGAGCCTGGACCCCCAGGGACAGACCCTGAACCCCCAGGAACCCTGAACCCCTTTAGAACAAACCCTGAACCCCTCAGGAACCCTGAACACCCCAGG